CAGTTATGGCTATTACAATTATTACTACAACTGCCATGGGCCTCTTGTAGACTGTAATGTAGCTTATTCATTTCGAGGAGCTCTATATGCACCATAACAACTGCATCTAAAAACACGGGTCCACAGCTGCATCTCAAACAATGCTGCAATCATCTCATTTTCTATATATCCCATTTTTGAGTTTATTAATAGGGTTAGAGCAACGGGGAAGGTTAGCAAAAAGATAGCCCACGGCTAACTCAACAAACAGCCCCGCGCTCATCTCTAGAGCCATTTTAGTTAGACCAAGGCTTTCTATTGTTGATGACAACGCGATCATGGAACACTTAAAAAACAGAGTTTATAATGGTACCTAGGCAACCTATTATCATTTATAGTGGCTGTATATGCCAGTGCTTTACAAATGTACACTGTAAATGTAAAACAAATGTTGACATAAACAAGAGCTGAAAGGGCCCTGTTCAAATACTCTAGCAATCTATAGCATGATTGTGTCCATTTACAGGATTTCCTTACTGGGCTTTGTTCATCACTGTAAATATTACATTTAAGAGTTATATTTGAATAGTAAAAAAAGTGAGGCTAAAACAGTGGATTTGGAAAAATTCTCCAACTCTGCTATGTTCGAAGCTAGGCTTTTTTAGACTGAATTTTTTCCCCATTTAGATTTAATTCAGTAGTTTATTCAGAGACTAGCTCTGGTTTAAGTGGCAGTGTGCTGTACTAGCCCGACCCAGTACGATAACAACTTTATAATTACATTGCCATATCCACGCAGGCCTTGGGGTCATTTAATTATTTATATGATGTAAGTGATCACAAAAAAAACTGTTCTAGACAGGAAATGTGTCCATAAAAAGCTCTGCTAATTACAGGCTGCGCAGAGACCATAAAGTGCCCCGGAATATTGGCAACAAAGATACAAATCAATTGTCATTCACTTCACAGAAATAAATTATGTTATATATTCAGCTAAAGGGCCTGACATGTTTTAAGCTGCATGACTTAATATTAAACAGATGGATATATCCAATTCTGATTTGTATAAAAACAACCCTGAGTATGTAAAAAAAAAAAAGGCACATTGGAGATTTTATATATATATATATTGATAAACCCTATAGGAGAGGCAATGCTCAGATCAAGACTAAAATTATAAGAATTGTAATACAGATCCAATGTTAACAGCTCCCCACTGCATCAGTGCACCCACTGGTGTTTTACAAGAGAAAATCAGCTTATTTTTATTTTGGATTTTTTAGCATCATTATTAGTCCATTGAAGCAGCAGCAGCAGAATAATGGAATATTAGGATAAATGGCAGCTTCCAGTGTTTTCTGACTATAAAGTTTACTTTGTATAGAGGAGGCAAACATCCATCAACAGATGCAGTGTGATATCTGAGAGAACATCCCTATTATATAAAGCTCCATCGGATACCCATGTTTACATCCCAGTAAGACATGCAGGGTAATATTACATAGGGACATGCAGTAACACACAGAGCAGTCTGTAACACACCCAGCAAGCACTGCTGCTATTTGTATCAGACTACATACCACAGGTACATATGGACATTACACACCCCTGTGTACCAAACACTGGAAGTCCTCCATATTACACCTCACACTCCTCTAACCCATCTACAAATACACCTGATACAGTTAGTAGTACATTACATATGCCATTTACATTCCAGAGATGGGTACACAGTTCTGAATATTACAATTATTACACAGAGAGAGAGTGGAGACAGCCAGGAATAGTGCATGCTTTGTACATAGTGACCAGCTCCACGCAGTTATTACACCTCTCTCCATATAGTACACACAGACTAGTAAACCAGCTATGATGCAACCTAGGAGAACTTGTCCATCTGTTTGTTGGCTGTTGAAGCAGAATCCCTGGTGTTTGGAAATAGAATCTCCAGAAATGAGGCAGAATGTCCCAGACAGGGGCAGCAGCCTGGCTCACAAACACTTTCCCTCCCAAAAACAGCCAGCCACGGGGGGATCAGGGCAGTGAGAGGGGGCTCAGTGCAGTGTGAGGGGCTCTCTGTGCCTGCCTGGGTGCAGTAAGGGGAGCCTCATTGCAGTGAGAGAGGGATTCCATGCAGTGGGGGGGTGATTCCATTCAGTGAGAGAGAGGGATTCCATGCAGTGAAAGGAGCTCTGTGCAGTGAGAGAGATTCCATGCAGAGAGAGAGAGAGGGGGATTCCATGCAGTGAAAGGAGCTCTGTGCAGTGAGAGAGAGGGGGGCGGATTCCATGCAGTGAGAGAGAGAGAGGGATTCCATGCAGTGAGAGAGAGAGAGAGAGAGAGAGGGGGATTCCATGCAGTGAAAGGAGCTCTGTGCAGTGAGAGAGAGGGGGGCGGATTCCATGCAGTGAGAGAGAGAGAGGGATTCCATGCAGTGTGAGAGAGAGAGAGAGAGAGAGAGAGAGAGAGAGAGAGAGATTCCATGCAGTGAGGGGTTCCATGCAGTGAGGAGGAGGAGAGGGATTCCACATGCAGTGAGAGAGGAGGATTCCATGCAGTGAGAGGAGAGGGATTCCATGCAGTGAGAGAGAAAGAGAGAGGATTCCATGCAGTGAGAGAGAGAGAGAGGATTCCATGCAGTGAGAGAGAGAGAGAGAGAGAAGAGGATTCCATGCAGTGAGGATTCCATGCAGTGAGAGGGGGAGGGGGATTCCATGCAGTGAGAGGAGCTCTGTGCATTGAGGAGGGCTTGCTCCAGTGCAGTGCAAAGGACTCTCCCCGCCTGCCTGGGGGGCCCAATGCAGTGTGAGCTGCTCAGTGCAGTGAGTGGGTTTTAGGGGGGGGGGGGGGGGGACCTGTTGCTGGCTGAGCGTTATAGCAGTGCTGAGACTTACCGCATGGCTGAAGGTGGAATACCCGTCTGGCTGCCATGCTGTGTGCTGCCGGATCTCACTCTCACCCCATCTTCACCATCCTGACACTTTAAGTTTTTTTAGCTAAAGCTAGGCAGCCTCCTGCATGGGAGGAGATTGGGGAGGGGGGAGACATCACACCCTCTGCTCCTCCTCCTCCACCTCCTCCTCCTTCTTCCCTGACACTCATTACCTCCCTAACCCGGGACTGGCACACACAGAGCATCACACAGGGACTGGTACACACAGGGCATCAAACAGGAGACTGGTACACACAGAGCATCACACAGGGGACTGGCACACACAGGGCATCACACAGGGACTGGCACACACAGAGCATCAAACAGGGACTGGTACACACAGGGCATCAAACAGGAGACTGGTACACACAGGGCATCAAACAGGGACTGGTACACACAGGGCATCACACAGGAGACTGGTACACACAGAGCATCACACAGGGACTGGTACACACAGGGCATCAAACAGGAGACTGGTACACACAGAGCATCACACAGGGGACTGGCACACACAGGGCATCACACAGGGACTGGCACACACAGAGCATCAAACAGGGACTGGTACACACAGGGCATCAAACAGGAGACTGGTACACACAGGGCATCAAACAGGGACTGGTACACACAGGGCATCAAACAGGAGACTGGTACACACAGAGCATCACACAGGGACTGGTACACACAGGGCATCAAACAGGAGACTGGTACACACAGAGCATTACACAGGAGACTGGTACACACAGGGCATCACACAGGGACTGGCACACACAGGGCATCAAACAGGGGACTGGTACACACAGGGCACCACATGGGAGACTGGTACACACAGGGCATCACACAGGGGACTGGTACACACAGAGCATCACACAGGGACTGGTACACACAGAGTATCACACAGGGGACTGGCACATACAAGGCATCACACAGGAACTGGCACACACGGCATCAAACAGGGGACTGCCACACACAGAGCATCACACAGGGGTCTGGCACATACAAGGCATCACACAGGGACTGGCACACACAGGGCATCAAACAGGGGACTGGCACACAGAGCATCACACAGGGGTCTGGCACACACAGGGACTAGTACACAGGGCATCATACAGGAGACTGGCACATTCATAGTGGACTGGCACACACAGGGCATCACACAGGAGACAGTCACACACAGGGCATCACGCAGGGACTGGTACACACAGGGCATCACACAGGGAATGGCACACACTGGGTATCGCACAGGTGACTGGCACACACACAGTGCAACATACATGGGGACTGGTACACACAGGGCATCACACAGGGACTGGAACACACAGGGCATCACACAGGAGACTGGCACACAGGGCATCACATAGGGGACTGGCACACACTGGACATCACACAGGGACTGGCACACACAGGGCATCACATGGACTGGCACACATGGGGCATCACACAGGGACTGGCACACACAGGGCATCACACAAACACAGGCACACATAGGGCATTACACAGGGACTGGCACACATACAGGGCATCACACAGCGACTAGCACACACACAGGGCATCATACATGGACTGGCACACAGGGGACTGTCACACACTGGGCATCACACAGAGACTGGCACACACAGGGCATCACACAGGGGACTAACACACACAGGTCATCATATGGGAGTGGCACACACTTGGCATCACTCTGGGACTGGCACACACAGGGGACTGGCACACACTGGGCATCACTCGGACTGGCACACAAAGGGCATGGTATGCTTTCATTGGCAATCACACAAGTAACTTGCGCTCAAAGGGCATCACACAGGAGACTGAGACTCACAGGGCATGCTATGCTTTCATGGAGGAACACACAGGAGACTGTCACACACGGGGCACGGTATGCTTTCATGGAGAATCATACAGGAGACTGTTCACTCGGGGCATGGTATGCTTTAAAATCACACAGGAGACTGAAATACACAGTGCATGGAATGCATTCTTGGGGCTTCGCACGGGCACACAATGTTTCCAGAGGCAACAAAGAGGGCATGCTATATTTGCAGGGGAATTAAACAGAGCCCAATATGCTTGCACAAGCTTCATACAAGGCACAATATGCTTGCATGGGGTACCACAGGTGGCATTGTATGCTTGTAGGGCATTGGAGAGGTTGCAAACAACTAACCGGTGTATCACTGAGGGCACATGCTGGTAGGAAAGACATCAGAGAGAACACTCTATAGTTCCAGGGGTGCCATAAGTGGCACATGATCTTTGCATAGCGGGCACTTAGCTCAGTGTCTAGGGATATGAAAGAGACAGTACCCAGCACAGTATACAGAGATACCAGTGCCATAAGACAGGGCACACAGCACATTATCATTTTAGAGCGACAGGACAGGGCACACCGCACATTATCATTTTAGGGCTACAGGACAGGGCACACAGTTCTGTATGTGTTCAGAAGCATAGGAGAGGGTTACATGGCACGATGAGTTTTAGGAACATTAGAGATTACACATCGACCCGTCACAGGGTATCTTAAGTCCCTTCAAACTTCATGATTCATTGACATAAAATAGGGCATATGTCCCTTGTGCAGCATGCACGCAGATACAAGACAAGAAAAGTCTCACTGGCACTTGCATGGGTATTAAGCATTTCCAAAAAACAAAACGACAGAATGTGGCATACACAGGGCTCCTCCATAAATAGAAGATAGCTCAGATTAATAACATGTACAAGGAATAAGGTATAGGACGATTCAGCGATACAGATGTGGCAAATATCTGTGGATCTTTCGGCAACAAGACTGAGGATCCAGGATATAGATTTCACTATCACTGCAAGAAAGACACAGAGAAAGCACAAAGACAAAACGCAGGGAACCCTACTGGCCTAGCAACAGCACAGGAGAGTGCACTGAGCTCATATCACTGGCAGAGGAATAGATGAGAGGATACGTCTTGATGGCACCTTCACTGACAATGGGCATATATTATTAATGGGTTACAGAGCACGCATAACTATAAATAAAATACTGCATGGGAAAATTCCAAAATAAAGAGAACTTAGAGACTCACTCAGCTCTACCAAGAACATGGAAAACAGGTAATGTCATGGGGATTGAAACTTCAGGGCAACATACATATTTGTCTGGCACATAATCATGTAAAACAGAATGCCAAGTATCTTGTGAAAATATGGAGACTTTGATCTGCACCCTAAATGTCATTCTTCACATACAACGGGCATACCCCAGAATACATAAAAGAGGCATACCCAGGTAGTCACCTTATTGGGTCTCCAGAGAAAGAGGCTTAGTCTCGTCTTGACCTCATGTATCCAGTGAACAGCAGTCATTCCCCGAGGGAGAGAGTTAGGTCAGACCCCTGGTCACCAAAAGGGTTACCCAGGTAGGCAACTCTTCAATCTTTGCTGCTTGCTTGGTCTTCAGGGACTAGTGGCTGAACTCTGGATATGCCTAAAAAAATATTGGCCTGTGAGCAAAAAAATACAAATCTAGGCAAACTCTTTCCAAACTGCTGTAGAGGGCAGGAAATAAAAGAATGCCTGATGTGTGGTGACAGGGAGGAGGTGGGTTTATTTATACAACTTTCAGAGCTCTATATCCTCTGTCCTTTCTGCCGTGAGGGGAGGGGCTAACTTTCCTGTACAAATGGTATTGGACCCTCTGACATCTCAATAGTATTAATATTATTATTATTATTAATAAAGCGACAACAAGGTCCGCAGCACTGTACAATGGGTGGACAAATAGACAAGTATTTGTAATCAGATGAGTTGGACGCACAGGAACAGAGAGGGTTGAGGGCCCTGCTCAAATGAGCTTATAATTAGATAAGCTATAATTGCTATGAATAATTTAAACCCTCTCACGTAATCATATACAGGATACTTGTAAATACCCAATATTACTATGATGGATGTGGCTTTATAAAACTAAATTGCATCATCGCATACTATGAATACTTAGGATGTTACATGTGTTTGTTTTTGTGTAAGTTTGGCCAGGTTTCAATCCTACATTTTTGAGAGAACTAGCCGTAGCTTTCTTCAGGCACTTTAAAGGGACACCATAGGCAGCTAGACCACTTCAGCTCATTGAAGTGGTCTGGGTGCAGTGCCCCTATCCCCTCAACCCTGCAATTGTAATTGTTGCAGTTTGTGAAAAACTGCAATAATTACTGTTATGGCTCCCCCGGTAGGAGAGGGGTTACTGCCGTATAGGACGTTCCCTTCCCGAATGCAGAGGTAGCTACTGAGCGCTCCAAACTGCCAAACAACAATCACACGAACCAGTTGGTCTCCCAAACAGCCGAACAACAGTAAAACGAATCAGTCAGTCTCCCAAACAGCCGAACAAGCGTAATCCATACGAATAATCCCCCCAATGACGAGACAAAGCTCTGTATTGAGGGTCAGCAGGAATCTGATTTAATGTGGGCTACATGCCCGGTATTTATGCTGGTCTCCCATCTGGTGGACACTCCCCTAGGGGACCAAATGGGAAACTGTGACAAGGACATTGTAACAACCAATCACAGAGTTACATACATACCCATTCCCCCTTTATTACCAGGACCCTCTGCTCTGCCTGGGAAATAATGGTGAAGTAATTCAATTATCTCCCAGGACAAAGACCAAATGCCATTTTAGATGACAGGGACAAAAAGGCATAAAAATGCATAACTGTTCAATATTAAAACATAATATAGGCATTCAACAGGTCCCCAGATAGCTAGGATCTGAGCACACAAAAGTACCGAATAGCGCTCAGATCCTATGCACACAGTCCAATCGCCGTGGAATCAAAGTGTTCACAAAGTCTGTTCTTCATACGAATGGGCTCCACGAGATGGCTATCTGGGGTATGGCTTATTCGTTCACAAAGTACCGAATAGAGAGACGTTCGAGGATTTCTACCGAAGGAGACGGGAGGTCGGCGGCTTCAGCAGTGTTCGCGCAAAAAAGTGTCCATTTTGAGATCCATGAGTTGGCCGTCGAACACCGCTGAGGGTTCGTGGATTTAAAATGGCCGCGACCTCGTGTTAGGTATACGAATGGCGGCCACCCAGCTACAGCATCAATTAAGAGGTGTCTGCGGTTAACCTCAACATTCTAATGGGGCCAAGAGGTTAACCACCAGCACACTTCTCTACTGGGTGGCTGGCCGTTCGGGAGTTTTATTCGGAAGTTGAAAAGGGAATGGTATAGAGTCCACAAGAACGGAAAAACACGAATTTAAATAACAAATGAAGAATAAGTTTCTGTAAGTTCAACACAGAGAGATCTGTCACAATTACATTGCAGGGTTAAGCCTGTTTCTAGTGGCTGTCAATCAGACACTTCCTGGTGGTTAGGCGACTTCTGGTCGCCCATCTGCTCTGCACAAGGAAGTCCAGCCTCAAGGAAAACCCCATAGAAAAGCATTGCAGCAATGCTTTCCTATGGGGAATGTCTAATAGTTTTGTGCCGGTTGCCGTACATGTGCATTAGCGCCCTCCTCCCCCCCCCCCCTGCCGGGTGACATCGGAGGAGGAAGAGCCCCAGCCCAGCATGGGACATCGGTGCTGGGATCGGTTAAGTACAGTAAGAATATTTTAGTCCTTACTCTGCCACAGAGAGTGGAGTAGCTGTAATGCTAGGAATACCGCTTTGTGCTCCTAGCACCATAGTATCCCTTTAAAGGACCACTATAGTGCCAGGAAAACATATTCGTTTTCCTGGCACTATAGTGCCCTGAGGGTGCCCCCACCCTCAGGGACCCCATCCCGCCCGGCTCTGAAAAGGGGAAAAGGGGTTAAACTTACCTTTTTCCAGCGCTGGGCGGGGAGCTGTCCTCCTCCGATCCTCCTCCGTTCCTCCTCCTGGGCTGAATGCGCACGCGCGGCAAAAGCTGCGCGCACATTCAGCCGGTCACATAGGAAAGCATTCATAACGCTTTCCTATGGACGCTTGCGTCTTCTCACTGTGAAAATCACAGTGAGAAGCACGCAAGCGCCTCTAGTGGCTGTCTCATTGACAGCCACTAGAGGATTAGGGGGAAGGCTTAACCCATTCATAAACATAGCAGTTTCTCTGAAACTGCTATGTTTATGAAAAAATGGGTTAACCCTAGCTGGACCTGGCACCCAGACCACTTCATTAAGCTGAAGTGGTCTGGGTGCCTAGAGTGGTCCTTTAACTGCAGATAACCTATTCTATTCATGGATATGTGATGCTGTGATACCCAGCTCTTGAATACTGCTATGCTATTTAGAATAGCGATTAGACCTGTCTTGAAAATGTATGATCCATATCATTGCTTTTATAAAATTAGCATCACGCACATGATAGATTGGTAATATTTATTATCAAATGTTTGGGAAGAATAGCATATACATTTCAAATATTAGAACTGTGTTTCAATGAACTGGAATATTAAATACTTATTATTAGTAACAGATTCCCACGTAATCCCAAAACCCGACACTTGTGTACTTAGTTAGCCTTTTCCACCAAGTTTATTATTTAACTTGAGCCCCTAGGCAGAAATGATACACTTGTTTCAGGTCACAGAACCTGCACTTTTAGTCTTTTCCTAATCATGTGATCGGGAAAGTCATGTGATTGCAGCATGCTTTAGAATCCTCACAAGACTCTGACACAGCTAGAGCTGTCGGGATCTGTCTTTTAACTCAAAATACAGAGTTAGCAAAACAAATTACAATTGTGGTTCAACAACATCTAAAGAACTGCTGGGTGTCCGCCCACGATATAAACCGTAGAGAAGAGTCAGCATTAGGTAATATGACCCAGAGGATGCAGTCAGGAAGCTTTCGGACAGCAATACGAACCACACAAGAAATTAACAAAAAAAAACTGTGACACTTAGACCTCAATTTAATATTTTAGGATCAGCATAACTAATGAGCACAAAACTTTTCAAATGATTTATCTACAGAAGTCAACAGAAAAGTTTTTCTAACAGATTCTGATCGTTTGAAAATCTCATCCAAAAACGTACCTCCCAAGTTTCCCTATTTAGGAGGGACAGGCCCTATTTTGGTCCCAATTCTGCTTTGCCTATTTTCTATCCTAATGTCCCTCTTTTCTAGGAGCTTCATATTGTTGGTATGTCTGATTGTATAACAGAGCTCTACAGTAATAAAACTCCCAGTAATGTCTTTGTACTACAATAAATGTGTTTAATAAATGTGTTTTAGAAAGCATTCTATGTAAATAAGATACATTGTTCTTGTTCTAAATTAAATTTTAGTTTCACAAAGTGCTGTTACTGAGTAACCTAAACTTTCTCAGAACAGCCCCGCATCTGGTAACACCCACACTCACACCCCTAAAATTATTGTGTCCCTCTTTGTCCATTTGAAATGTTTGAAGATATGCAAAAATACAATATGGAACACAATATAAAATGTATATACATTTTCAATCTTAAAAGACTACACTATAGTCACTAGAACAACTACAGATTAATGTTTGCATTTTCATGTAAACACTGCCTTTTAAGGTAGTGTTTACATTGCACCTAGGGACACCTCCAAGTGTCCACTCCTCAGATAGCCACTGAAAGTGCTTCCTGGCTCAGTGCTGCACAGTAGGCAGGACTGCCGTTCAGCGTCTCCACGCTCTGCATGGGGACGCTGAATTTTCCTCATAGAGATACATTGATTCAATGCATCTCTATGAGGAGGTGCTGATTGGCCAAAATGACATTTGTTTAATGTTTTTAGTTAGAAATAGATTAAAAATGAATCTAAATGAATAAAAGAAGTAAAATAGACCTTTTAAAATTATTTGGTGGTATTAAAATAAACTGCTATCATTATAGTTACATCAGACTTAATACAGAAAGAGTTATTCTCACTAAGTATATTTGACATAATTTCACATGCTAATTAATGCACATTTGTGATTACTCAAAACACATATATTGAGTTAATTTAGAAATTTGGAGAATTTAGCTTTCTAGATGCACAAAAGTTAGATTTGTTTGTTACGAGATCACTTGATAGATTCGATCCTTTGATACACAGTCAGCGCGAGCCATTGGCATGTACTACCACAAAGGCAATTGTTTCCGTTGTTCTTTTCTACATCTGCCGAATGAATTTATTAAAAATGTAGTAAATGTGCAGGACATCAAACTTTGCATTACAATGGTGGCCACCATGCCACAAAAAAAGTAACAAAATACTGTCATTTTTCAAACTTTGTCAGCGTTGTTGGCTTCTATTCACTTATAAAATCCCAAGCAGTATTAGATAACCATAATACTGAGGGAAGAGAGTTTAAGTCTGCATTCCAAGTACCATAACCAGTATAGCACACTAAAGTGGTTATGGTGCCTGTATGCCCTTGGCACTATCTCCTGGTTAGGAAAATATTTTCGAATGATTTGACACAAGCCCAGGGTCTCCCGTATACTGATGGCTTCTTGATGCTTTACCCTTCACTATCTGTATATATAATGTAGCCAAAATGGCAATAATTGTTATGCTGGTTAGATTTCCTCTTTAAACGTTGTTTATTAATACAGATATCTGGCTTTGTAAGCTTGTAATATGTCATACTTTTGTTTATAGAAGGTGAGCAACCTGTTTTTGAATGAGACAGCGGGTCCCAAAATGTCTGGGTTGATGTACAGAACAGCTGATGGTCTCCACTAAGCCATCTTCTTATCCCACAGAGCACATGTTTGTGCCAATAATGTAGAGACACAAAGGTGCCTAGTAGGCTGATTTACTAAGCTCCCAGGGAGGGCCAACTTGTTTATTTCTTGTTCCTAAATTAGGGTGGGAAACTGAGATAGTTGGATGGTCAGTTCTTGTTTAGCTGGAGCTGTGCTAAGTGTGATTTTAATGAAAATCTAGATTAGAAATAGGCAATATTTTTGGTAACACTGTGCAAAAGTATAATTTTGGACTCCATAAGAGTGACGGACCTATTTTTTCTTTAACGTAATATTGACATAAGATTAAGAATTATACTTGTGTTATGTATCGAAGTGGCAGATGCTTTGTGAGGTTTTATATGTGTGTGGCCTATATTAATTATGTGTGTTATGTATGTGTGCTGGATGTTTGTGGTGTTATGTGAGTGTATGTAAAGGTTTTGTGTACATTGTTGTTTGTAATAGAAGGCGTCTTATGTGTGAATGTGTGCTGTTTGTGTTTTTGTGTGCATTTGTGTGAGTGTGTGATGGAGTAGTTT